GTACATACAAATAATAATAACATAATTTGTATTTGTAAAATTTATATTGTTAATAACAAAAAATATAATAAAAAATAAAAAGTAAAAATATATATTTATTAATGAGTTGCTATAGTACCGATATCTATGTTTACATGGTTGGATATCTATACGTAGTATATGTAGGATATGTAGTTATGTTAGTTGTATATAGTTTACATACTAGTACATATATTTTTAATACTTACAATATACATATAAAACTTGCAATATTATTTTTAATAAAGAAGATGTATTAATTATATTATAGTAATAACACTTGTTATAGTTACCCATACAGCACAGAACCTTGCAGCAACATTGCTGCAACGTTGCAACATTGCAACTACGGTGAAATGTTGCAGAGATAGGGGAGACTGGGGCTGGTTGTGACATTTTTAAGAAAATGTAGTTGTATATATTGCCTGCGTAATTTTTTAGGATTTGTTTAGCACTATTAGATAAAGTGGTTTATTAGCTTTAAAAAGCGATATACATTTAAGAGTACTTTTCTTATAACTATCAGCAATTAATGAATTTAAAAAATCTGTCATTGTAATTTTTTGCCCCGTCACTAGGGTTAGTTGTGACACCGTAAGGGATAAAAGTGACAACAATAAGTTTCTTAATCTTAGGCATTTATTGAACGTATTCTTAATTAAACTGATAAGAAAGTTTTTTCATTTACATATTAATATCTAGAACAAAATACTATAATATTAATATCTAGAACAAGATACTATATTCTAATAACAAAAGAATCTATTAAACTTTAAAAACAGTAAACTCTTTTCTTATTAAAAACTCAATAGANTCAACAAAATGTAAAAATATAGTGAACATGTTTCTTTTAAAAAAGAGTTTAATAAGTTAAAAATAAAATTATTTTTTTTTTAAATTAAGGCATTAATCTGAGTGGTCACTATCACAATTCAAGCAGACATAAAATGTAGTGCTGCCTTTCACGCATTTCACATGTGACCATTTCTTACAAGTAACACATTGCACCCACTCTTCTCCAGCTCGACTTTGATTAAATGGTCCATAGCAAATCAGACAAAAATATTCTTCTTTATTATATTCATCTTCAGAGTCTTGCAAAATTTTTCTTTTAATTGATTTCTTTTTTCCTTTATCTTTGGCAGGTTTTTTTCATTTTTTTTATTTTTATTTTTCTGTTCTTCGGCTAACGCATTCTTTTCAGGCGTATCTGTTAATATTGCTGATTTACGAGTCTTACGTGTAATCTTCTTTGTTCTGGGAGCTGCTTTTGGTAACGGCCTGATTGTCTCTGGCGAAAATATTTGAATCTGATTTGAATTTGTATTCAAACCGCTAGGACCTGGAACTGGATTGTCATAAACAGAATTTCCATTTTCTGGTAATTGATTTCCTGATTCAGAAGTGTCTTTGGTCGGGTAATTGATACTAATATCATTATTCTGAACACTTTGTAGATTTTCTTGTTCATTAAGTGGTCTATCGGTGACAAATGCAGGCAGGAAGTCAGTTTCTTGAAAAATATGTTTGTTATATGGTGAAATGCCGGTTTTTTTAAATCCATTAATAATATTATTTGGATTCAATGCCTGAGGCAAAGCGTTTTTAACTATGAATAGAATATCATGCACAGTCATCGTTTTTCCAGGATTGTTTCTTAACCAAGCATCTTGTTGACTAGCACAATAATTTTTAAAAGGTCCGTAAACACCAACATCCATTGGCTGGAGCTTGTGGGAACAATGAAGCAGAAAAGACAACAATATCACATTGTTATTCTTTGCTTTTTCTATTACTTCAATGTCCAAGTGTGAAACGTGATTGTCAAGTAATAGAAGCACTGGATCAGAAGGAGACGGCTTTACGTGATATATAAAATGTTCTATGAAAATATTAAATTCCGTTCCTGTCATCCAGCCAGACGAATTTCCAGCACCTATGCATCCTGGAGGCCCATCACGAACAAAGTAGTCTCTATATTTAATCCGCGGAAAGACAAACATGCAAGGAACTGAGTTTGCGACAGCATTTGCTGCTACACAAACTGTAACAAGCGTTCCTCTTTCAGCTAATGTTACGGAGCCAACTTGTTTTGAGCCTTTTAGAGCTAAAACTTTTCTTGGTTTTTGGACAGTTGTTACACCTACTTCATCAACATTCCAGATGCAAAAAGGAGGAAACTTGTGTTTATCCATTACCTCTGCTAACTTCAAGAAAAAATTGTTTACATTTGTTTTATTAAATGAAGTTGCTCTGCTTAAACTTGTTGCTTCTGGACATATTGATATTTTTTTCCCATTACGTTTTAAAAAAGCATTTAGCCAGTCCACACCAGCTTCTTTGTTGTCATGCCATGATTTTGGCATTGGAATATTGTGTTTACATGCACAGTCATGTGCCACTCTTCTAACATCTTTTGGTGTCAACCCATGATAAATTTGACAACATTTGATGAGATAATTCACTAAAATAACTTCTTGTTCATCATTGAAAATTTGTCTATTTTTCTTGTTACCGACTGTAAGAGAAGCTATAGAATTTCCGCTTTTTAAAATTGCTTTCCTTTTCTTCAAATACCTGGTAAGTGACATATGACATAACCCAAAATCTTTTGCGACGCTACGAATTTTTTTGGTGCTGTCTTCATTCAGAACCATTGCAGCCTTTTCGTACAAGTCTTTTGAGTTGGTACCGCGTTCGGTCTTCCTTCTGTAAGTTCTCATTCTTTGAAAAAGACAATTTAAGTTTATTCAGTTTCTCAAGCAATAGGGGGTTGGTTGTGACATGTCACAACTAACCCCAACAATTTGTAACTTCTAACCTTAACATTAAAATCAAACATTCCAGATACGACAAACAAAATAGAGATATTTTTGGCATAAAATGATTGTAGTAGTACAACTAGACGATGTCAAAGATCAAGTATTACATAAACACATTAGTTAAACTCTAATAGAAATAATGTTAAACCAAGTTTACGAACGAGAATAAAGATTACAAACCTGTTATTTTTTACAGCTGTATGCACATACTCGCCTGGTAACAACAATGGCGTTACCGATGTATGTAGCATGATAGTTAATATTGTTACGAGCATTTGTCTGTTTTTAGCTTTATTGTAGCACTTATTTTTTATCACTAATCAAGACTATAACTTTTTACCCCTGTCACATCCAACCCCAGTCTCCCCTATTGCAAAAACATTATTTGGATATATTATTCTAGCAATGTTGCAGCAATATCTTAAAACATTGTTAGAATTGCATATTAATATTAGTGTGTAATCGGTGACTGTATTACAGATATAGTGTCAGTTTTTTGCAATTCAATGTACGTAATTTGTGAAACCTGGTACTACCACATGTTAGTGCCCTGCTTAACATTTCCTGCGTGCAAGTTTTGCGCGCGTTACGCATAAAACTCTTGTGCGAGATTTGCCTGAGTTTTGTTAGTGGAATATCTTTTGTCGTGCATATTGCGCACAAGAAACTATCTCATATAGTATCCAGTACACCAGAAAATAACGCACAAATAGCTAACATATCGCAAGCCATTTACTTTTGAGTTGATAGTGTATTATATACTTAGGAAACAGTGTAATTTGTTCTCAAGTTGCTTACCAAAATAACATTTTTTGGATACAAGGTTTGCGCGCGTTACACATAAAAATCTTGTACGAGATTTGCTTGAGTTTTGTTAGTGGAATATTCCGTGTCGTGTATATATTAATTGCGTACAAAGATTGCTATATATATATATACCTCAATAGACACATTGTGAAAATATAGCACAAAAATGGCATGAACGACGACGATTTTGCAATAATAGCAGTAAGATGATTCGCCAAAGCGCAACAGTTTTTTCAAAGTAAAATTTTGTAAATAATTTTTGTCAAAGATGAGAAAAGAGTCGTTGTGCATAATCATTGAAGTTTTTTGTCATTTTATGATACTATTGTTGTGCAATATTTCCACAATGTGCCTATTGGTTGTGCATTTCTACAAGCATATAAATTATTCTGATTTTTTCATGTTGCAATTATATTTTTACATGTTTGAAGCATCACATAGCTGAAAGTTTTTTTCTTAATTATTAGATAATTTCTTTTTAAAATTAATTTTGCAAATATACTGTTAAGATGATTTGCCATATCGTTATTGTTTTGCCAAAATAGTATTTGGAAATTAATTTTGCTAACAACTACAAATATTTTATAAAAGATCAATGGTTTTACATCTATTTAAAATATGTTTATATAATTGCACATCATATCTTTAGTGCAGGATTTCGTCGCGAAACATAGAATTTGTTTCTGAAACTTCTTTTGCAAATATCTTGGAAACTAAGGCCGAGCGGCGGTAACATGTATAGGGAAAAGTTGTTTAGAATCATGTCCCTAACAACATATTTCAAACTCATTAAAATCGGAGAGGAAGCCCCTAATCTAAATAATTACCATTTTTATTTGTGCGCAATCGAGCTTGTAAGCAATCGAGCTGTAGGCAATAACATCATGTGTGCAATCGTACATTCGTCTTTTAATTTTTTAGTTGTGCGCAATCGAGCTTGTAGGCAATCGAGCTGTAGGCAATAATATCATGTGTGCAATCGTACAATCGTCTTTTAATTTTTTAGTTTTGCGCAATCGAGCTTGTAGGCAATCGAGCTGTAGGCAATAATATCATGTGTGCAATCGTGCATTCGTCTTTCAATTTTTTAGTTGTGCGCAATTGAGCTTGTAGGCAATCGAGCTGTAGGCAATAAGAGTAGTATGTGGGCAGTTATGGCGCGTCAAAACAAACCCCCTCTACCTGTCCCCCCACTCCAACTGGCGCCATTGCCCCACCACTGAGGTTTCCCTCACCTTTCAGTCTGGGGTATTTAGCCACGCCCACTGGAGGGGATGAAAAAGTGACATGATTTTTGGAGTAAAAATGTTGTTTAAATTTTTTGTGAATGTTAAAACATTTGTAAATTTTTTATAGAAATCTGTAAAAGAAGGGGAAGAAAAGTTCGAGAACGAACGGTTAGAAGGGAGTAATTGTTATTAAAATTGCATAAGTTTATTTAAAATTTGACTCGAAGCGGTAACGCTGACGCTGTTGCTGCTGCTGCTGCTGCTGGAGACGCTGTCGCTTTGCTTGGTCAAACGTTTATGAGAGCAAAACTCGGCGTCGGTTGAGTGCGAGGGAGGAATTGTAAGAGCAGGGGTGATGAAGCGTCGGGCCCGGGAAAGGCCCAATGAGGGTCTGGTACAATATGGCTCCCAATAAATGTGGAACAGGAAAAGCTAGAGGGTTGCTAGGTCCCCGAGGAAGGACCAATGAGCGTCTGGTACAATATGGCTCCCAATGAGCGTGGAGCAGGAATAGATGGAGGGGGATAGTGGCGGTGTAAGGAACTTGACGTAAATCTACGACTAGAAATTGCGGGTGGGTTGCTCTGCGGGGGTTGCTTTCTAATATAAGAAATGACCCTTGTCATCCCTTACAGATTTTTCTGATCGAATTTCTTAGACCTGCGTGTTCCTGTCTGAGCGTGTTAACAAGTACGGTACAAAAACAAGAATATAAATTTCTTTTCAAAAATAAAAAATGATCCCACGATTCTTGCAACAAACCGACCGTTAAACTTGCACGTGCTTGTTCGTGCGAGAATCTTCCAGAAAATTTAACAAGAATTTTCGATTAATGCGGGTGAATATTCAACGCATATAATAAAATGTTTATTATAAAAATGTTTAGTAACGAGTGGGGTGGTTTTTTGGGAAAAGGTTTTCCTGGAAAAAATAACAGAAACAACATGGTGTGCTTATTTGATATAAACTTAGATATATTGTGAATATTTAAAAGAGAATACAAGATTACAATTATTTAGTTTTTGATTTACAAGTACAGTATTGAATATGGTGCTCGGGAAAGCGGGTTTGTACATTATTAAATTTCGTAGAGAATATTTTACGAAATAAACATACAATTACTTTGTCGTTGGCGTCGAAATTTCCGGAAAACATTTGTAAAAATTGGGAGAGGATATACCCATGAGCCATAAAATAGAGAAGCACACAGCAATAATGGCCGCACGTTTGCAAGAAACTTTTTCTTTTTCTTTTTTTTGTTTTTCGGAAAATAAAGTTTTGCTGGATCTACTTGCTAGTTTCACTACAAATCGTTGTGTTAATGTAACAAGACTTTAATAGGCCCAGAAAATGGTGAACTCATTTTCCGCGTATCAATCAAACCAAATGAATCCTGGAAACATATAAAAGTTTACTTGGTGCTACTTTTTGATATCACTTCTTTTGTAAAACAAGTTTTATAGAGAAAGAAGTTTTTGTATTATTTAAAAATAAATGTAACATATTATATATAAAAGTTTACTTGGTGCTACTTTTTGATATCACTTCTTTTGTAAAACAGGTTTTATAGAGAAAGAAGTTTTTGTATTATTTAAAAATAAATTTAACATATTATATAAGTTTATTTGGTTTTTTAAATACAACACGTGTTGTGCGGGAGGGTCCCGTTTGCCTACAGATTTATTGCCAACAGCATCATTTGCCTACATCCCATTTGCCGACAATTCGTTTGTACACAAAACTTATTGCCTACAGCTCGATTGCCTACAAGCTCAATTGCGCACAAATAAAAAATTGAAAGACGAATGCACGATTGCACACATGATATTATTGCCTACAACTCGATTGCCTACAAGCTCGATTGCGCACAACTAAAAAATTAAAAGACGAATGTACGATTGCACACATGATATTATTTCCTACAGCTAGATTGCCTACAAGCTCGATTGCGCACAACTAAAAAATTAAAAGACGAATGCACGATTGCACACATGATGTTATTGCCTACAGCTCGATTGCCTACAAGCTCGATTGCGCACAAATAAAAATTTAAGAAAAACGAATGCACAATTGCACACATGATATTATTGCCTACAGCTCGATTGCCTACAGGCTCAATTGTGCACAAATAAAAAATTAAAAGACGAATGCACGATTGCGTTTTATAGCTATAGATTTGGCAATGTTTTTTCTCGACATATTACTGTAGCAAAATTTTTTAAGAGATCTATGCTTGGCTTCAAAGCGCATAGACGAAAAATGAATAAATGGTCCCGACATCTCGAACACAGTTGCATAATGAAGTAAGTGATGACATTTTGCTTTAAGACTATCTTCTTTCAACTTTATGTATAATTTGTTATGTTCATATATTAGATGATTCAATAATGACGCAGTATCTTTTGCTAAAGTTTTTGATAATACAATGTCTAAAATTTCTCTCAAGAGAATATACAATTGCCAAAATTCATCATCTACTGGAATTAAATCACCAATTAGAACACCAAAATATTTAACAAAACATAACATTTCAGAAGCAGAAAGTTCTAGTTTATCTTTTTTCAAATTATCTTGAGATATTAGTGGAGGTCTATTTGATGAAGCAATAAATCCAAAATCAAACATAGCTAAACGAAAATTTAAAATATCAAAAGAAGACAATTTTATATTTTTGTGGAAATAATTAAGAATAAGTAACATGTCGTAATTACAAACCCCTTCTAGTATATCATG